GCATGCCAGCAGCAGGGCTCTCCAGACTTGTGACTGTGATGTGCATGTGTCAATGGTGAATGCTCTGGACAGTCCTTTATACAGCACCAAGCACCCAGCCTATTCCACACACGACCCGACTCCTGAACAACTAACCGGGGAGCAAACTCCAAGTTAACCCCAGACAGCGAGATTAACCTTGTGCATCAGGCAACAGATGTCCCACTCGCAGGAAGGATGACTCATGATTCGAAACGCCAGCCACATGCATTTGATCTCTCCTGTCATTAACTGTCCATCTGAAACACGAAGCCTTTCAGTTCCTACCACTCTTTAGAGGTGGCCTGATTTACAAAGAGCTGTTTGCTCTCTGGTCAGAAACCTCCCTGTAGGTGGGTTGAAGTTGGAAGGTTCAAAAAGAGAAACCAGATACCTCTCATGACATGTAATAGGGGATCAGCAGCATACACAGGGCATGTGCAGCTCAGCTTGAGATACCCAAGAGCACATTTGAGGCAAGGGAACAAGTTCAAGGGGTTGAACCACTAATTATGTCTTTGCCATGTAACAGATTGAGTTGATGCCGAGTGAGAAAATGTCACTATTGACACATTGCTGCCAGGTTACAAGCATCAAGCCTCCAGGCTCATTTCTAGTTTCCCCTCGGATCACCCTCACATTAAAGCACAGCGGTATTCTGAATTCAGATCCACAGGGAATCCACAAGCAACCTTATGACACACAGGGCCAGATACACTGCCAGATCAGTTTTGATAGAAGTTGAATGGATTTAATGGAGGCAAGAGTTAAAATGACTCCAAAGCACTCACTGCCACAGCTCCTGAGTTTTCCAAGTGTAACCTTCATTGCAATCTCCTGCATCAGCCCAGTTTTCACATGGGAAAGATTCAGCTGTGGTGGGTGATACCACAAAGCACAGAACAGCGGCACTCCCAGTGGGAGTCGGTATAGCCCAGTGAGGACTGGGCTCCAGTTCAGAAACCAAGTTCACCCTGGTAAATCGGAGCTGTTCACTAAGCCCTAGCACCTTCTCCTTCCTATTCAAAGAGAAAGAAATCCTAGTGCTCGGAGTTCACTTCATCTTCAATGTCAGTGTTACCTCCTAGCTCCCTAAGACCCCATCCTGTATCTAGGCCTGCCTCTCTGAGGTAACATCTTTCCATTAGCTTCAGCTAACATGTGGCCAACTGAGGCCCTTGTCTTACCACTTCAGGGCACATCTATTTAATGTAGATTTGTTAATGCCAGCAGTGAACTGGGGTTTCAATCCTGGCTGAGGCTTCTGGAAGCTAATGCATTGCAACCAAATAACAGCACCCGGATGGAGAGTGCATGGAAACATGCAAAGCTCAGAAACGAGGTCACTTTGTACATCCAGAAAATTATACTTCCCAGCAGCGACCTACAACCATCAACTCCAAAGGTCGCTATGTTCGACCGTGCCATTACAATGTCCACCACTACATTTGCTCTATTTCTAGACCACCATCCATTGCCAAGAGCTTTACATATTACGCTGGGAACACTTCATCTCCTACCACAGTGAAGCCAGATGTAGGGTAGACAACAGCTGTTTTAACTGCACACACAAGTGCTACACAGCAGCTGAGTACAGGAGGTGAATGCTGAAACCACATGACTAATCCAAGGAGCTGCAGGTAACCAGAATTTGGTCATTTCACTGATGGCCATAACTTGCATCCTTAACAGAAAGAACCACAGAAACTTTAGTGACTGGAAGCAGCTGGGATGATTGTTTTAAATCTGCTCTGAATGAGCCCCACCAGAAGCACAGCACTCCATTATGCACCGTGGGCCTTTGGTGTAGCATGGTCAGAGAGAACCATTGCTCCCCTCCAGCATCTGGGTATTCCTTGTGGGAGCAAAGTGCATCCCCCACTTCCTTAGTGTGTAATGCAAGAGGGCTAAGCACCAGACTGAGACATGACTTGAAGCTGGATATGATTTAACAAAGGAACCATGACACTCAATTGGATCTTCTGGGTTACTGAGTCCAGTCCCTTGCTATCACTAGCACCAGGTCGTATTCTCTAACTCACCGCACTATCTTGAAGCCAGCTATATTTATTGTCCTCACAACTTCTACGGAAAAGGCCGTTCCAGAACAACCCAATGCTTAAGGGGAACCCAGAACTTCCTGCAGGAATCTCACGTAGAAAGGCTTGATCATATTTGGAGTGTTCTTGGAGAGAAAGATGTGCTAGACAGGAACAAAATACTTTGGCTCCTGTTCCTGTAGCATTTACTTCCAGATTCCCTAACATCTATTCCGCATTACTTGGTTGTGCGGCTATGTTGTAATGCAAGCCACTCAATGGGAGCCAACATCTGAGCATAGCCTCAAAACCCCAGATTGCTTATAAAAGAAACCAATGACAGGGACGGCAAGGAAGTGCTGAGGCAGGTTTTCATGATGGACTCCCTCAGGAGCAGGAGTCACAGAAGGATAAAGACCCCAGAGCACGCTGTGGTCTACAAGGATAGTTTGTCTTTGCAGGCATATTGCAAAAGCACTGCTGTTTAGCTACAGCATATTGCACAGGGGTCTATAGCAATTTAATTTACATACTCTACACGCTACCTATAGTGGACTCTAAAAATTGCTGCTTCCATTACCTTAAGCTGGTTGATTTTTAAATGACTGGCACCTCAGAATATAGATGAGCTATGGCAAGTCAACACAACCCAGCAGATGCTTCCCCATATACACTCCATGCACGTCTCATTTGACAGGATAAGTATTGAAGGGACAAGCAGGATTCCCTACCCCACTGGCTCATACTCTTCTAAGGACATGACCCAGTGCTCAGCACTGATGCTTGGGGTCTCTTCCCCACATGCTCCAGGGGGTGAAAGCTGATTTACACTAAGGCAATGCAAATCACCAAGTGATAAAGCCTTGATTTAAATAATCCATTTTAATCAACTTTTCTATCTCCGCTACCCCTCAGCTATCCTCTACAGAAAGGTGCACTGCCATTAGTTGATCCAACCATTAAAAGATGAAGATTTACAACTAAAATAGAACCTTTATGCTAGCTTTGGCTCATCTTTGTGTTACTTCAAAAGAACATCCTAACTGTATACATTTAAGTGATACTATGGCTTGTTATTTTCCGTGTTATTAGCTATGCACGTCAGGTAAGTTAGAAAATGGTGAGTGGTGCATTTCTTATGGGTGCTCTCCAGGATCTAGCATTTAATGCAACATCTGACCAACTGTGCCATACTCATTAACTTTGATCTCAAGCTTTTAGTGCTCTTTCCCTGCTTCCTCCTAGAAAAGCACACAGCCTGCAACCCACAATCTTCGAGAGGGGCTCCTGGATTCCTAATATTTATTTCTTATTTAAACGTTAAGAGATTATAATGAGTCTAGGCCTTAATATGCTTTGCTTGAAATTGAGATTTCCTTTCAAAGAAGCTTGCTTTTAAAAATGAAAAACTATGATTTAAAACCAAACAGTCTTTTTTTTTTTTTTTAAATCATTGATTTTATTAGCTCTGATTTACATACATAGAATAAATAATAAAGGGTTATGTTTGTTAGGAGACAGCAGCTGTCCGCTGGGTCAGTACAGGTTCCTGTGCTGTTTCTGATATTAGGAGTCCCCCTCCACCTCCTCCTCACCCCTTTCCCAGCTTCGCAGTGGGAGTTCTCTGGCTTTGCTGCAAAGGCAAGAACACGACACACGAATCTTCGCAGAGGAGCTAGAACACAGGGCGGCAATCAACCTGGTATCCAGGTGGTTCTACAGCCGCATCACCACAGCATCATGAATGTCTGACCTGCTCAAAATGTATTTTCACCACCATGATGTGATGGGGATTATCATCCCTGCAGTCAAGAGGGGAAACAGACTCCAAGAGATTAATTTGCCAAAATCACAGATCTGCAGCAGGGAGAACTGAACCCAGATCTCTGGTGTCCTAGACTAGTGCTTTATCTGTTAAAGCCTGACAGTCAAAACTGCTTCAAAGGAGGGGAGCTTGCTAACACCTCTCTTTTTAAAGGAACTTCCAGGAATGTGATGACAGGGATCCTGGTTTTCTGTTCAAAAATAGCAAATTATTTTATGAAAAAAAAATAAAAATAAATCACAAATTCTCTGATTCAAACCCCCAAAATCAGCATTTTTCCATGATTAAAATGCCACTAATATATATATATATATAGGTATCAGTTGAACACAGTATTTTATTGATGCATTTACAATTTTAAAGCAATTTGGAAGCCTACCAGTGCCCCAATCATTATAATAAAATAAATTCTAAATGTATAGAAATTTTGGCAATTGATTTTGGGGTTTTTTATCATGGAAAACACAGCTCCCCCTGCCCCAGGATGTGGGTCCAGCTGTGGCTGTCTCCCCCTGCTACATTGTGGCACTGAGCAGCCTGGATGTGCTGGTGCCCTACCCATGCCACTGCCCCCCACTCCCCACACACAGTCCCCTGCTCCACCCAGCCCTACTGGAGGGGACCCTCAGTTGCTACGGCCATGGAGCCAGGGTCTGCAGCCCACTGACCACTGCATCTGCCAGGCAAGGGATTCCTCACCAGAGCAGTGTGCAGCTCCCAGTGGTGGAAACAAGCCTATCAGCCCAGCCCTGTCGGGTCCTGCCCACTGGGCTGCAGAGGCCCCAGGGGGAAGGGCAGCAGGGCAGCCCACCCCCATCCCATGCACAAATCTGGGGGGGGTACATGCCCCTCCCAAGGAGTATGTGCAGCAGTGGGAAGCCAGCCCAACACCCCCCCCCTCCCCCAGCTGGACATCCTGCTCCCCACCTGGGCCCTGTGACTGCGTAGCCTGACCCTGAGCCGCAAGCCCCACACACCATCCCAGCTGGGCAGCAGCACTCCCAGCCCTGTCCAACTCCCTCCCTCCCTATGAGGCCCTCAATTCCCCCCACCTCCCACCAGACTTACCTGTGGGGAGCTGCTTTCCAGGGTGCCTGGTGGCCATATGCATGTGTACATGCACATGGTACCCCCTGCTGGTCGCCCTTCTCCCGCTCTCCCCAGCCCCTTGCAGGCTGGAATTGTCAGCCTGCAAGAGGAAACCCACTGTTTCCCGAGTTGTTATTTTTTTCCCCAACCTGAGGAGATCCGGGTTTTTCTCAAACTGAGAAAAATCTGAGTTTAACCACATTTTATGCGGCGAATAGAAAACACTGATCCCTGGTGATGACTCCCAATTCCTTCTTTTTGTTTTAATCCTCCCAGTGTTGACACCACATTTGGGGCTGAGACCCTGGCTGTAAGGAAAATAAAAGGGACTGCTGGCAGGTTAGATTTGGTCAATACTTAGATTTAGGAAAACCCTCACCGACACAAATACCAAAGCCCCAGAAACTTTTTTCGATGTACAAAAGTACAGCTTTGTGTATTAGTGTGCAAGTAGAATCCCTTAGGAACTGTTTATAAAGGAGCCTGAAAACAATTTGTTTATTGGCATCATCCCAGGTGAGAGAAATGCAGTGTCTGAACAAACCGCAGAACTGCTAAAGAGCCAGAGTTTAAATTTGCAGGTTTAATAATCTCATGTGTTTAGCACACACATGCAAGGAGGATTTTTTAAAACCAACTTTTGACCTTGTGGCCCCTTTACGAAAATGCAATAGTTAAAGAGTGATCAGGAAGGGACAGAGTTACTAACCCCCCACCCCTGGCGCACTGGTCCTGGGAGGCCATGCAGTCTCATTTCTAATAGGCAAGAGTTTATCATGGATAAGAAAATGTACAGAGGCAATTGTACACCAGAGAGCTTTATAATCAGAATGGAGTGCACCAGGTTTTCCAATGCAAAATGGAACATGACCCAAATTCTTTACAGAACAGAAACACTTTCAAGAAGGTGGCCAGCTGTAGCTCCAACATCTTGATTCCTTTTTTGGATGGAGAAGAGGCTGTGAACTGTTTTGCATTGGGATGAGATTTTTCCTCCCCAGCAGGTGAAGGTTGACATGTCCCATGCAAATTCCCTAAAAGTGTCACATGAAACAAAAATGCCTTGAACAGAAAACGAAGTGGAAACAATAATTCTGCTCATGCAGCAAGACCCTGGTTTGTTGTACATATAAACCATCACAAGTGCATTCCGGGGGGAGGGGCGTGGCGGGGAGGAAAGGGATAAGTATGGAGCAACTATTTGCTGTTCAAGGCAACTCTGAAGTAGAGGATGGATCCAAAGTACCATCTTGCTTCAAGGGAAAGTAGATGGAAAGTGCAGTTTGGATTTCACAATCCACATTTCATAACTGAAAGAGGGAGGAGGGGAGAAACCAACCCACAAGCATCAAATGAATGCATACGTAAAAATGTGGAAATGCTTCACTAGGATGGGCCTTGGAGGGAGACAAGAACACAGAGTTAGCAGGGCAGGCATACTAACTGGCTCCTTAAAAACGCACGGGCTGCACGGACAAGGATAGCAGGCCAATGGTACTGATAACCATCTATGACCCATGCTGCTGAACATGCCTTGGTACACAGCTCTGAGTTCCTAGGCCCAAAATAAAAGCCATTGAAAATTCATGTGACAAGGAGGCTCTGTCCTCTGGGCAAGGAAGGGGTCACTAACTGCTGGGAGGCTCAGCCGAGTAAACCTGGCTTTTGGTGTCTGCAGAACTTGACTGAATGAGGGACACTGTCCCCAGCCTCAATCGTTTCCTCACTCTGTGGGGGGAGGCAGCCATCTTACAGCACGAGTGTAAAATGCCTGAGACGTGAATGCCTTGCCATGCTAACACTTTTCTGTAAACCATTTTGAAGCTCTGGCTTTCTTCTTTACTATCCGGTAGTCATGTCCCTGAGAGGTACTGTAGGGCTGGAGTTCTAGTGTAAGCAAATTCAAGGCCCGGGTGGGATATCAGGAAAAGCATTTTGTTTTGTTTCTCTTTTTAAAGATAGCTTTGCATTGTCTTCCCAAACTGCATAGCAGCTTACGTGTAGTGTCAAAGACACTGGGGCCATGGAAATCAATGGGGCTTGCATGGATTTCAACAGCAGCACCAGTGAGAGTTCATGAAGCTGCTGCGCAGAAACATCCCTTCCAGAAGGATTCCACTCTCTCTTGTTTCTGGCCCTGTGGCTGCTGCATTACAAGCTGTACAATAATGGTGTCTGCTCAATTTAAAGCTTGTCAATTGCCTGACGGGGCAAAGGCCAACACCAGCTTTGTCATTAAAAAAATAGGAAGGATAAAAAGTTAAGAGACTTGATTAGTCACAAGGTGAGAGTGCGATGCTTTCATGCGGCATGGTTTGCTTCATTCATTTATTCAGACAGGAATGTCAAGTGTGCAGCAGTGGAATATGCTGGGGGGAGTCAGAAGTAGGTCCCCTCACCTTCACCTCCCCACCCCCAGCCTGGATTCTCTGGAGAAAAGAAAGAGGGCTATGCACCAGATGTGGGGATGGTAACACCTGCTGCCACACTGCCATACCTCGACCTGTCACCTTACACAAGTCTGCCATGACTGCATGTTCTTTCCAAGCAGCCACTGCCCCAGAACAGTGTACGCAGATGTAAAGCTTTCCTTCTGCCGCCTCTGCTCCGCTAGAACTGACCGCAATTGGTCAAAGCTTTCTACATCTGCCCCTGTCCTGGCGTGGCTCAGAAGAGAAGGTGATAGCCACTGAGAGAAGAGTCTGCCGACTGCACACATGACAAGCCTACAGCTCCTCATAGTCCCCACCCCCTTGCTGCTTGCTGGTGCTAGCTCCACCTCCCAAAAAGGCCTCCAGTTCATCTAGCTCATTGTTTTTCTCCTTGCTTTTCTTCTTTTTCTTCTTCTTCTCATCTTTGCTCTCCTCCTTCTCCTTGCTCTTCTTGTGTTTGTTTTTCTTCTTCACAGACTTCTCCTCTTCCTGCAAAACAAGACAAGCTTCTAGTTACTGACCATGCATTTTCCTTGCCCCTATAAAAAAAACCTAGATTTGGTGGGAACTCTACTAAATGAATAAAGCCTAATAGCAAGGAGTAGGAGGTTAGGAACACAAGACCATTCTGTTGTCATAGACCAGAAGGATACGAAGCCATGCGTGATGCATGCAAGCAGCTTCCTGTTGGGTTAAGAGGGCTAGTCACAATATCCAAGTTTAGAAGCAATGCTCTTGGGTAACAAACCAACTGCTGCTCTCTTGTTAAGCTCAAAGGATTTATTCTTTCTTGGACACACCATTGACGACATCACTTTTTTGCTAAACAGCATGTTTTCCATCCATATGCCTGTGCTGTACTATATAATCCAGTGTTACAATAGGCTGCACACTGCATTTTTTGATTTTATCTTTTAAACTTGATATTTCTCAAAGTTTGCTTTTAAACTGTGAAGGAGCTAATCGTCTAGAGTCCTGAGGGACTGCCAATCTCTCTGGCAGTTAAAAGTTAAAAATGCTTTGCTCTTTTAGGGCACACGTCGGAGCAGACTTGATAATTGAGTTTGCTGGAGTGTGCTAATTAACACGTAGCAGCCTCTGCATCATGTCTACTCAGCATCCCTGCGCCTCAAACTGCTGATGGGGGCACTTTAACGAAACCCTGTCAACGAGCTTTAGTTAATGCTCCCCCACAGCCATTCTGAAGCATGGGATATTGAATACACATTACATTGAAGGCAATTTAATTAGAGCAGCTCTCAGAGCCGTTCTAATTAAAGCACTACCCCTCCCCCCAGCCCCCAAATAGATGGCCTTAATGCCTGGAAGAAAATCCAGGCTTTAAGAAAGACAGCCACAAGACCCCGCAGCTTCTCTGCCTGATAAGCAGAAACTGTGCTGGTAGAATGTGGGAATGTGCTGGTACAGTGGGGAATGAAGCTCTACCTCTTTAGTCTTCTTTTTCTTCTTCTTTTTCTCCTTGGAAGATTGCTTCTCTTTATCTGTTCAAACAAAAAAAAGGAAACATTGTTTGTTTTCTCCAGTAAAATGACATAGTGAATGCATTTTCCACTTGTCAGCCTCCTAGTGATAAGGAGAGACTGCACTGGTGCTGAATGCTGGGAAGATCTCCAATTTCAACACCAAAGAGAGCAGCCCGAAGAACTAACTCCTTACCCAGAAATTTTGGTACGACTTAGAGACGTGTATTCGATTCTGGTTGTACAGCTATCCAAACACATGCATTGCTAAGTCTGCAGGCACATTTCAACTATAAACCACAAGGCCTATGGACTCGGGTCACCTAAACAATCACACATCCTATTGCTACAGTCCTCCAGCGAGAGACAGTCATCAGATGACTTGGCCTACAGGTCAACCTGGGGCTGTGGAAAACCAACCAGACAGCTGATTTCAGAGTGGAGCAACATCTCCACCCTCCCCAGAACATTCTGCCTCTAGTTCCTCAGGGTTCAACTTCAGAGTCTGGTGGCAGAAGCATCCTAGCAGATTGCTTTACTGCTTCTGCCTGAGCACGGGAGCTGAAATCTCCAAGACAGACAGAACCCAAAACTGAGAAAACCAGATAGCAGAAGCAACCCTCTGAATTGCATGAAGAAAAGAACTGGAAGGTAGTACAGATGCAGATGGGACAAGACTTCTACAACCAGCACTGCCAAGCAGGCAGGCAGCCCTTTCTGCATAGCTGAAGCTTCTGAAAGGTCTTCCAGGGCAGCCTACATAAGATATATTTGGAATATCTTCATGAAGCAGGCTCAAGGGGCCAGAGCGTGGCATCAACATCTGCACTAAAGAGGAAAAATCACAGCTTTCTGGCCAACACTTAGGGGTAATTGTTCTATGCCTAGAAATAGTTTAACTCCAAGAGAACACAGAAGCTGCAGCAGACAACTAAGATTGGGCTTATTCTTCAGTAATATGGGCAGGCACCAAACCTGCTGCCTCCAGGATATTTTCCCCCACTCTTGCCAATCTCTTACACATGCTCTACGCAAAGCTTCAGGTAACTCACTCATCCACACCCCTGAGAGAGGGGCATGGAGGAAAAAAGAAAACTACAAGATCTGGTTCTGTCTGAAGAAACAGAGTTAGGCTGACCTGCCTATCAATAGTACTATAGTCCAAACTATTTATCTCCCCCTACAGATCACAGATATACTGAACTAGAGTGATGACGGAGTGGGACCACATGGCAAGTGCCCTTGTTCACCTGCCTAGTCTTCATGCCCCACTCTCTGGTGATGGGACTCTGAAGAGAAGTCACAGAAGAGCAGCTTTGCCCACCCACCTCCCAGGTAACCAGTAAAGCCTGTTGACAGACCTTCCAGGTTATGGGACTTGACCTCACTTCTCCATTAATAAGAGATCGCCAACCTACAAAACCAGCATAGTCTCTGTATCATACCCAGACTAAAACACAATGGTGAAAAGGATCAGGGAACTCCAAGCAGCTTCAAAGGCTGTTTCAATATACTTCCTTCAAAACAGGAAAGTTGCATACTTGCAAGTTGTTCATCTAAATCAGGGGTGTTGGACGTATTGCCTGTGGAGCTACTTGAAGGAGCTTAGTGGACTACTGATGGACCCCCAGAAATTGGGGAAAGGGAGACGGGTGGAAAAGAGTAGCCTGCCACAGGATCTGAGGCCCTCTGCTGCTGACCATGGCAACCAGTGGCAGGAGGGCAAACAAGGGCTGACACAGCCCAGCTGCTCTCCAGCTGCTTTGTTCATTGCTATTGCTGCAGCCCTACACTCCTCTCCCACCCCAGCTGTAAGCCCAGTGCTGGAGCTAGAGCCCCTGCTGTGGCAAAGGGCACACAGCAGCAGTAGCTTTGGCACAGGGCAGGGGCTGGCACCGCCATGTGCTCCAGATTGGAGCTGAAGCTGCCATTGCTGCTTGCTCATACCCTGGGCTGGATCTGGCCCACAAGGAGGCCTGTGGTTTGGGCACAAGACGAGTTTGACAAACCTGATCTGAGATGAGCAAAATATTTACAGCCACCATTAGAATGTAAATTAAACGTCATGATGAGGTGACAAATTACAGGTTTGATTTAAAGGAGTTTAACACCTCACTGCTGCTTAACAGGAGCAGGCATCTTTGACAACTGGAATTAATGCCCAAGTGTGATCTGATTAGTACATACAACAACCTGGAGTTAGTGTTTAAGAGTCAGTGCTAGTAGATAAGAACATCCTCAGAGGATAATGGTGTATATTGCTGAAACAATTTATTGAAAAAAATGTTGTGCAGAAGACTTTGATCCTGAGCCAATGTTCTATTGCAGTGACTATTTATATTGTATCAAGAGTCTCAGATTTAATAACTGCCTAAACATTTGTAGGATACTTTAACAATTGCTGACTGTGCCATGAATTTGATGGCTGATCTTTTATTGGCTCCAAGAACCTTCTTTAACAGAAGAATCCAAATTTGTCCATCCACATGCAGATTTTCCTGACTACTCTGCATTTCAGAAGTTGGTTTCTGAAGGCCATATATTTTAGCTATATTTTTTTAATGATCAGCTGAAAGGGTCAGCCACCTCACAATCTGACTGCTGGCAATGTTACTCTCTGACCAAATGCTAGAATATGTTTTTTAACTTTCTCCCAGAAGGTAGGGACAGGAAAAGCCCCCACAGGATTAATAGCCACACTAAATTAAAACCGAATTATTGATCTGGGCCCCACAGCACAATTTCTAGCCAGTTATTTCAAGTCGTGCTGCTCAGAAACTGAAGGCGACAGGCTGAAGGAGCTAGGATGGTCCTTGACATCTCAGTCATGCTTTTAGAACATCTAATCTATGTCAAATCCCTTCTGTGCTTCTTACAGAATTTCCTCCCCTGAAGTCTTTAGCTTCCCATCTTTCCAGGTGACTGCAGGGGCAGATCTGTAGGAAGCAGCTTTTCAGTAGTGCCAATCAAACTGGAAACTTCGCTGCATAACATGGAGAGCTCCCCTCAGGAAACAGAAAGAATGCTTAGATCATGGCAGTCCAACAGCTCCACCTACATGCCTCCCAAAAAAGCAGTATTCAACCATAGGTGGAGCCCTCAAAGGCTTTGTGGCACAAGGAGCCTACAAACAGTTTGTCTGAACCTCTCCAAACCTGTCAGTGCTCGGGTGCTACAGTGATGAACACAATTCTTGGAAGTGCAAAACTAGGCAGGAGATGTCATAGGAACAAGCTTGTGAAATGCAGGCTCCTGCTGTAACCCGGGGCGGAAATAATACAGCTGCTGATCCCCCACCCCCTGCACTCCTCCCTCTCTTCTCTCTCCATTGGGGTAAAAGACAAAACATTAACATTGCTATTTTAAGCAAAACTCACACAAGGTTTTAGGTGATACTGGGGATGTTTTATGTTGTGCAAACCATTTTTCTTAACCCCAAACTATTTCAGGTGGCAAAAAACCCAACAGTTTGACAAACATTAGTAAGAGGAACAAACCCAGCATATGGCCTTAACAGCTTACTTTCGTCACTGCTCTCCTTTGTACCAGTTTCTTCTAAGCCCAAGCCGAATAGGTCCGAGTCATTCTTCAGTTTAAATGAGTGGATTGCAGGCTTCACAGGCTGTGGGGGTCTTGCCAATGAGGCATCTTCATCAGAGATATCCGAAAGATCTTCTCGGACTGGGAACTCATCCTAGAAGCAAGGAATAGCAGGCACGTCAAGCACCAGTCTTTCAAAGTCAGGGGAGGGTAGAAGAACTGAGCTGTTATTACTGAGAAGCTGTTGTCACATGTTTGATCCTAAATGCAGGTTCACTTAATTCATACTAAATGAAAGTGTCTAGACACCACTGGATTGGAGCAGTGATATAAAATGCTTTATTGGAGGGGGGGAACGGACTGTAGATTAGGACTTCACATACAGTGGGCTGAACACTTATTTCCTTAACTGGCAGCATCACAAAATCCATGCTATGCGCCGATCTGGAGTCAAGTGGGCTTGAAGCAACATGAAGGCAATGCACAGCCCTGGAGAAGCATTTTGTGTTGCTAGAATAAGCTCCTCTGCCATGCTCTCTCTCAGCTTGACAAGGCCCTTGCCATGCTTGCCAGCTGATCCTCAAGCAACTAAGTTCTTTCCTATATAATATCCTCAGGAGTAGCCTAAGCTCCACGTCTATTCAGCTGACCTGCGTTTCCAGCCTCTTGGGCTGCCCTGTGCCTCTTAATGAAAGGCACACTGCTTTGCACTGCTCAACTGAGCCAATACATATTTCACTGGAAAAGCATTTTTATGCAGAAGGGCACCTCCCTGACACTGCTGCAATGCAGTGCTTCCCAGTAAATCCTGCTGTCTGTAAGCATGTACAAGGAAGCGTAACCCTGTTCAGAAAGCCTTTGTTTTCACATTAAAATGCTGGACGCAGCAGGCACTGACAATATTGAAAGAGTGGAAAGTTACTTGATAAAAACCAATACCTGGGGAAAAAGGGAGAGACACACTGGGGAAGCAATTACTCCTGTGGGATCATAAGAGTGAAATGAGCATGTCAGAACCCACTCTCCAAGGGCTCTCAATAGTAACCACCTTAGACACTGGAAACATGTACTACTGAGCTTCAGGCATGGAGACTTTCTTGCAAATCATGGTTATCCATTTCTATACAGATGGTCCTACTCAAAGGGGGTTATCTAAGGCTGAGATGCCCACAGCTGGCTCAGGTAAAGGCCAGAACAGCAATATACTGGGAGTTCAGACCACACTTTTACACTGCTTCACCTAGTCAGTCTTCTGCTGGGGGCAGCTCTGTCTCCTAAGTTAAGTAAGTGCTGCCCATGTTATGGAATGCCCTGAACAGGTTACAACTACCCTGATTTAAGCTGGGTGTTGAGATCCTTCTATAATAGCACTTCATGGCTTCATCCCACAAAGGAAAAAGTAGGTATCAAACATTTATATCATGCCTTCTCAATCCTTGACTTGCCAATAGGAAACTGGGTGGAAACAGACATTGCTCTTCATCGCCTTTCATCACCTTCGTGCTTCCATAAAAATTTTTATGGCAGCCCAAAGACCATGCAAACAGATGACCATGACCCTTTTCACACCACAAATGTTCAAAATCTGTCATTGCAACTAAGATGGCATTAATCTGTGCTGCTATTCAGCAGCAGACATATATTTGCTTTGTGGTGGGAGAGTGTGGGCACAGCTTGGAGCTGCCTGCACTCTCCAGCTAGCTCCAGTGGGCAAGTCTCCGGGGGCTCAAGGGACCCGATCCTACACAACCTGGGAATTCCCACGCAAGATTGAGCCCATCAAGCCCCTGGAGCACCTGTCCAGATTTCCTCACTTACAGAGAGGAGCCCTGGGAAACTTCAGGGCACATCTCAAGGCAGGAATACACCGACTTTCCCTGTTTATGGAGATGTGCCCCAGAGAACCCAGGGGAGTCTCTCTCTAAGTGGAGAAAGCTGAGCAGGCACTTCCAGACCTTGAGGGGTCTGATCCTGCACTGGAATTCTGGGGGGGTGCAGGACTAGGCCCCTCAAACCCGAAGAGAACGTGTGGCCCATTGTCCCACAGCATCAACAGGTGGGACAAAGGGCAATGTGAGTTTCAGTCTGGCACAGCTGATTTACTTCATTTGGCAATGTTTATTTCTAACCTATTACATGTGCTCACTTCTCTACCCAATGCTCAGGATGGAAAATCCCCAGTGTTTAAGACATACATTGCACATGGCTGCTTGAACTGAACTCAGGGCTATCCAGGTTATTTTTAGTAACTCCATGACCTTAAAACCACAACTACAGTGCAAGCAGCCATGCAGATTCAACAGTACAAAGGGCATTAATGACTTTCACGTGCATACTGCTCTTCAGACTGTCTGGCACTCATCTTGTTACTGGAATATGAAGAGATCAGACATGACCTCTCATCACTGGGATGCCCCAACGTTGCTAGCTGAACCTAGAAGCAATCAGTGAGTAGATCGCTGCTGGCTATTTACCGTTTTCTTCTTCTGACTGTCAGACTCCTCACTCTCAAAGTCTGGGTCATCCATAACGAATGAAAGCATTTGGGTGGCTATTGGTCCTTCGTGATCACTGTCAGATTCCTCAGGCTTTTCTTCTTTGACCCCTTTTTGTTTGGGGGTGGACCCCTTGTTCTGGGAAGTGGTCTTTTGGCTCTGAACTGATGCAATAGGTGCAAGAACAGCTGTAACAGGGGCAGGCAGAGCAGTGGTGAGCTTACTGCCACCATTTTTGTCAGACCCAGAACGTGGAGGTAAAGTGCCTGGAGGCTTTGAGTCCGGTGCTTTGGTGGAAGCTGCTTCATGCTGTGGTTTCAAGGAATTTCTGGAAGACCTTTAAAAAAATAAAAATGACAAGTTGTCAACAGCCTTTTTGCACTGATGGAAGAGATAACTTGGCACTCTTCCCTGAAGTTTCTTTGCTAGCAACACCCCAGAGCCCAGTGAATCCAAAGAAGAGGAGAAAAATGGATCTTCCTGATATTCCTCAGCTATCTAAGTGTTTGGGGAAAGCTAGGAAATCCCCATCTCTTTTCTATGTTGTCCAGGTCTCCTTTGCTTTGTTTTCAACATAGCACTAGTGAAGCAAAGTGACTTCCTGGAAATGAATTAGTTAGCCGATTCATGCCTCTTGAACTGTAACCTACATCAAAACAGTAAAGCAACTCTACAGGTTTTACACAAAGCACTTGACACTGGAAATCTTCCTGGCAATAAGTCAAATGCTGCCAGATAGCCTGCTGGTTCCTAAGGATGCTGATACTTGAGATCAACACAGTTATTTATGTGCTGAGCCTTGCTGCATTATTTATATGACCACAGGTCACATTCCATGCAACTTGCATGGTATTCTGAGGGCATCCTTCCCCAGGGAAGGGTTCTGCAAATGCCTTTCGCTCCCTATACTGCAAGGCTCAAGACCCCTGTCTCCAGGGTATTTGAGAGCAACCATTCCCTGGTGCAGCTTCACTGCAGCAATCCTGGGTTTGGTGTGTGGGCATATGTTGGCAGGGCATGCTTAAGAGTGTCCTTCTCCCCAAATACAAGGGGCATTCTAGATGAGCCCCAGGGGACCTGCTTGAAGTTAAGTAGCAAGCAGTGGCTGAGGAAGAATAGGAGGACCAAGAGCTCAATTCCTAACTCCATACTTTAGTCACTAGATGCACTCTACCATTTTTTCTCGCGTTCCATGTCAATATCTTCATCAGCCATGATGATGACCTTAGAGTTTGCCGCTGCCTCCTCCTCCTCCTCCTCCTCCTCACTTGACAGGGTGATATTTTTGCTTGGTACAAGCTCTTTGGCCTGGAGTGGCATGCTGGGCATCTTGTCATCTAGATCCAGATCATCTTGGAAACCAGCCACCATAGGGTTCCCTCCAGGTGCCTCCCCATCACTGCAATATAGACAAGGATTAGATACAGTTTCTGCAGAATGCATTCAAAGAAGTATGCTACCAAATCCAAGAATGCAGTCCTGGTGTTGCTGCTATAGGCCAACATAGTGTGTGTTCCAGGATCCCCTCTTTAACTTAATTAAGGGTTATGTTTTGTTTTTTTGGTCCTGGTGAGCAGTTGGCAGTCTCTTACTTGACTGCATGCACTCAAGCCCAGTGGACCTATATCATCTAGCCTGCAGTGCTGCCTGCTGCATGCAGCATGAGCTGGCCCCAGTCCATGCACTACGTGTGGCACATGAAGCCTGCCTGGCATGGTCTGTACATGGTGCAGGGCCAGCCTAGGGCATGTGCTGCATGTGGCATGCATGGCCAGTCCAGGCCCACACTGCATCCCTACACCTCTGCTCTAATCTGTGACCCAGCTTCAGCTGCACATGAATAAAATGTGGGGCTTGACACAAACCAAATGCCAGGGGAGGCAGTAGCTGTTACAACAAAGCCTTAGTTGGAGAAATCGGTACCACTGTCAGAAAAGGTCAGGCTTCCCTGCTACAAAGCATGCTTCTGCTGCAATGAGGACTTTATGGAAACATTTCCAGGACGCCATGCAGGAATTAGTCAATTAAATAACAGGAACTGCATCCCCAGATCTTCATGTCCTGTGATTAAAATGTACCCAGCATTGCTGCAGCTGCAGGAACTTACCTTCAGCTATCAGCTTCTTCAGGTTATTTATTTTCTAAAAAGCCCCCTGAAGCAGGCAACAATCCAGAAATCATATCCATCCTTAGAGGCACCACAATCAAATTAACCTAAGAACACACTATTTATAACATAAGAACCTGTAGCACACCTTAGACTTAGCATGGGTATGCTTCCAGACATTCTGGTAGGGAGTTTCACTGTTAAATTGCAAATGGAGAATTCTCATCTTGATTTCCCTAGGGCTTGTAATTTTAATGCTCTTGTCAGGAATATAGCTTTTTCTGGCAATTCAAGCTTGGGAGCTTTTGCACCACCTTTCCTCACCCTGGTTCCTTTAGCCACTAGATACTTTCTATTCAGAGGAACTCATTTCCTTCTTGATAAATGAATTTATTATGCTGGCATCCAACCTACACATAGCAGTCACCTTCCTTTAACTGACCCACTACAGATTACACAAGCCCATCTGATTTGCATGTAAATAAAAAAAAAGATATTCAAAGCATGTTACAGATAAGACTTCAGAAGCTCAAAAGTAAGACCCTATGACTGCACTGTGGTCCCTCACCCTCAGTACAGAAAAGCATCTAGCATCATGGATTCTCTGGTCAATGCAAAGCATGACACTGGCCAGCTCTGCCAAGAATGGTTGCTGAGGGAACAAAAATTCAAAAGACCGAAGGCTGCTTTGCTAATTCCATTTTCCTCTCACCCAGACGCCGCACGATTTTTGTTTGCGAGTTAATTTTATCTCAGGACTCTGTGCCTCTGCCAATAGGTAACACAAATGTTTTTCATGGGTGATACACTCAGCTTTTTTCAACCTTGGCACTATAGTTAGAACATGCGGCTATATTATTATGCCAAATTTATGTTTTATGCCATGTTCCTTCCCTGGGAGTTCTTTCACAGGCCTCCTAAACCTGAAGAATCCCTTCTGCATTCAAGGCCCCACACTGCAGTGACAAGTTCATACCAGGGCAGGCTGGCCTGGACTCTCTTTATTGCTCCTCTCTCTTTTTTTTTTTTTAAACGTTTCTGAGCACTGAGAATGTCTTTTTCTTAGGTTTTGCAGGCTGCCACTGCAAACCTAAGAATCCAAATCAGCTTCCGTTCTCTCCTTCACTAGTCTGATCTTCAAGCAATAGGGCAGACTATATCACTGCTATGCTTACAGAACAGGTTCACATGCCAATACATCACAAGGGTTGCAGAGTTTATTGTTAAGATGTTTGGGGGGCTGACTGAGAACTTGAATGGCTCTCTTCTTGAAACACAGTGAAGAAAATGAAGGCATGGCTTAAAAAAATTGAAGTTGCTCTATAAAGGCAACTTTAGCTTAAAATGCTACTGGTACCACATTTCCAGATGCTATCACATTCCCAGGTGCAGGGACTCATAGATCACTGTTTTGAATGTTGTATTACTCGGGCAACTACTGATACCAGCTACCGTCAGTGCAACTGTCCTCACAAATCAGCACACGCACTAGACTTGCAGTTCTTTAAAACATCCCAAGCCTGAATAGAAAGCACGTGTATGCACACACACAAGAAATGGGTCATCTTTATATGCCATGAATAATGAAGCTGCCTCCCTCTCTAGCTTCCACATAAGTCAGCTAGCTGCAGCTTAACAGAAAAGCAATAAGCTGAATATACATAAGGAAAGACAAATAAATAAATAAAAAATCAAGGCTGCAATACAAATGAGGTCTGACAATGCAAAATGAGTATCAGCTTGTGGCCCTGATTCCATCTGGAAGGGACTCAGAGCACAAGGGAAAAATAAATCAGCACACTGCACCATCCTCCACAGTACTTGACAAGCTGCCAAGCCTGCATTAGCACAGAACCATGCTCCCTGGGGTGGGCATCCTCCATCAGGTAATGACTGCTCTTTTAGAGGTGTGTGGTCTGAGAGGCAAACCAAGGAGCAGGTGGGGGGAGGTTCCTCATGCTAAGCTGTGGTGGCGTAGACGAGCAGTGTCATCACCAGCAATAAAGCCCTGTTTCAAACCCAGAGCATCTGGCTTCCCACATTTTAAGATCCAAAGTAATCAATGAGCTCCATCTCCCGCACTGACGTTCCTTTTTCTATTGGGAGACTGACAATGTTCCTTTTTCGATTGGGAGCCAGCACATTCCTCCTGCCACATTAATGTAGGAGCCAAAAAAACAGAGGGGAAAGAGCTGAAGCAAGCAAGCAAGTGGGCGGGGGGGAGGGAGGGGGGGAGGAGGGAGAGGACCCCACACGTATTGTGAGAGAGGAGCGTGTGTGAGAACATGCTGGCAAAGGAAGTCCCCCGCCCTCAACCACTATCCCCAGGGAAAGAATGTCCTCAGTTCCCCTCACTTGCTTTTTTAACACAGCTGGATGGCTCTCCTGAAATAGCACATGCCACAAAGACATTAGGGAATGATTTCAAAGTTAGGCAGATTTAAGGACAAGGAAAGCTAATTGGTTGTGAGCAAGATCAAGGTATAGTGAGGTGATGAAAACAAACCCACAATACAAATTAGAGGTTTATACTGAACTGAATTCAAATAAAGATCTGTAACCCATGGATGGACTTGAACTAGATGCTTCAGGCAATGAGGAAACAGCAGCGCCTACTCAGAGCCTGCTTAGCTTCTCTAATAGTCTTCAAATAAACTACAGCATAGTGCATCAGATGGGGCAGGTCAGGAAGCAGTACTGAATTTCTAATAAGCTAGTCAGGGAAGAGAGTCCATGATTTCTCTCTACTGCACACTCAAAGCTTGAAAGAGACCACCATCAATCCAGATGCACAGAGTCACGACTGCAGATATGTGACACCATAAATCTTGAAAGAATTATGCTAGGCTGTAATGTGTTCACCATCTACAGACTTGACTAAGACTTGTGCAGCTCAGCAGCTTTCAGACTGATCTGTGATCCACCCATGGTTCTTGGGTCTAAAGAGCTGGCTGGGAAGCAGCTCCAAAGACTAGTGTTTTGGAGGAAAAACATGTATCATAGTATCCTAGTGCTCAGGATCGGAAGGGACCTAAAACAGATCATCAAATCCGACACCCTGCCCCAGGCAGGAACGGATGCTGGGGTCATATCAGCCCAGCCAAATATCTGTCCAGCCTCCTCTTGAAGACCCCCAAGGTAGGAGAGAGCACCACCTCCCTTGGGAGCCCATTCCACAGCCTGGCAGCCCTAACTGTAAAGTAATGTCTCCTGATGTCCAGATTGAACCGTCTAACAATTTGTGGCCATTATTCCTAGTAACCCCAGGTGGTGTCCATGGGAACAGAACCTCTCCCAGTTCCCACTGGGACCCCCTGGTGAGTTTGTCAACAGCCGCCAGATCCCCTCTCAGCCTTTTCTTGTGGAGGCTGAATAGGTTCAGGCCCTTTAGCCTCACTTCGTAGGGCCTGCCCTGCTGCCCCTTGACCATGCGAGTGGCCCTCCTCTGGACCCTCTCAATGCTAGCCACATCCCTCTTGAAGTGCAGTGCCCAGAACTGGATGCAGTACTCCAATTGTGACCTGACCAATGCCGCATAGAAGGGAAGGATCACCTCCCTAGACCTGCCTGCGATGCATCTGAAGATGCATGACAAGGTGCAGTTAGCCTTATTAACCGCTTCCTCGCATTGGTGGCTCATGTTCATCCTGGAGTCAATGATGACTCTAAGATCCCTTTTTGCCACAATGTTGACAAGAAGGGTGTTCCCAGCCTACAGGTGTGTTGCTGGTTCCTTTTCCCTAGATGCAGTACCTTGCACTTGTCTGTGTATGTGTTTTCTTTAAAAGAAAAAAAAAATAAGGATGATCAGCCCTGAAACCATCCCAGCAGACAATGGCCTAACTTGATGCAGCATTTTTTTCATGTTTTTAAATAAACAAACAAATTTAAAAAAATTAATACAAACCACCTTAAAAACGTCAGGCCTCTATAGTCATTCCAACAGCAGAAAAAGGCCCTCTGCGGATCACTCCTTAGTAAAATCTATACCTGCTTGCATTTTTATGAATGTTTTTCTTACATTTTAATGTCAGATCCGATGGTGAAAATGTAGTCTATCATCATAGTTGGTAGGGTCGGAAGGAACCTGAGCAGATCAAGTCTGACCCCCTGCCACGGACAGGAAAGAATGCTGGGGTCAAACGACCCTGGCAAGGCGTTGATCTAGCCTCCTTTTGAAGACCCCCAGGGTAGGAGCAAGCACCACTTCCCTTGGAAGTTGGTTCCAGATCCTAGCCGCCCTGACTGTGAAGTAGTGCCTCCTGATGTCCAGCCTGAATCTACTCTCCGTCAACTTACAACCGTTATTCCTTGTTACTCCCAGTAGTGCTCGGGGGAACAGGGACTCTTCCACTGCCTGCTGGTCTCCCTTGGCCGGTTTATAGATGGCCACCAGATCCCCCCTCAGCCTTCTCTTGTGGAGGCTGAACAGGTTCAGGTCTTGTAGCCTCTCCTCGTAGGGCCTGCTCTGCTGCCCCCTGATCATGTGAGTGGCCCTCCTCTGGACCCTCTCGATGTTGTCCACATCCCTTCTGAAGCGCAGTGCTCAGAACTGGACACAGTACTCCAACTGTGGCCTGACCAACGTCATATAGAGGGGGAGGATCACCTCCTTGAACCTGCTCGTGATGCATCTGTGGATGCACGACAAGGTGCAATTAGCCTTCCTGACTGCGTCCCCACATTGGCAGCCCATGTTCATCTTGGAGTCTATAATGACTCCAAGATCCTTTTCTGCCTCTGTGCTTTTCTGCCTATATCTTACAAAACAAGCTACAAACTCTCACCCAGCTGCAAACAGCTGTGGTTGAACTAGAAAATATCTTTTAAGAGAACATCTAATCATGACTTAAAAGACTTCAAGTGACAGAGAATCTCACATCCTGTATCAACCTCTTCCAGTGCTCCCTCATCAAGTGGGTACTGGGAGAGACGCTAGGAAAAGAGAAGTGCAGGTGTGGGGAAGCAAAGTGATGCTATAATTCACTCTCTTTTATGGATGCAAGTACATCGCTGGAGTTCAAGGTACTAGTTTTGCTTTTGAGACTCAGTTGATGGGGGGACCTGCCTCTCTCCTGAGATGGTGCTCTAGTTACAGTTCACTCAGGAGTCTGAACTGGCAGCCTCTCCCATTTCATAGGGACAGATGTCGCTAGCAGGACATTCTTCCTGAGGGAGCCTCAGCTTCAGTACTCATTTTCCTCACCCTCTACAGCGCAGTTTGTAAGTCATTATTGCTATACACACAGGAAGCTCAGCAAGCCCCCTGTGAGTTCTCATTCTGTGCAGTGCATTGTGTGACCCAGAGCCTAAGGAAATCAGAGATGCTCCCTTAGTCACGCTGGCTGCACTTTCAGGTGCTACTTTCAACCCACTCTGTCTCCCACTTCTGACACTCCTTACCTTTCACTATCATTACGGTCTTTAGCCTGAGTCTTTCTCTTGTCTTTCTGAGGGGTTGGGTCCTCCAGGAAGCTGTGGTCTAGGCTGTCATCAGGAACAAAGTCCTCCACACTCTGCACTTTTACAGGGACTTCAGGAGGGGGAGCAGCAGTGGCAGCAGCATCTGTAGATGGAACAAATGATCAGGTTTCCTGACACTGAAGTGTACTGGATGTACACAACACACATGACCACAACAGGTGTGGCAGAGCACTTGTCTTTCCAGCTGCACTTCAAACTAGGTGCTCCTTTAACACACACAGAGGTACTGCCATGTCCAGACACAGCTAATGACCACACAAGTACTGCCTCCATGGACTTGAGCTGTATACCAGGGGAACTATAAGGGTCTGAGCAAGATGCTCCAAGCACAGCTTTGCAGGAAGAAAGCCATGAGCTACATTTTGGCCACTCCTGGTTTACAACACATTGAACCCGCCTGACTGATCAGTTTGGGATGTAATATTAACCAATGCTAGAACAGGTATAGTCAGCTGATTACAGGTTGCAAGTTGGCGTTGGAGTCAGTTGGCTTTTTATATCTATGAACTGTACAAACAAATAACCAAAGACATCCCATTACTATTCCCTTGTCTTCTGTAGCCCTGTTTATTCATCCCCAGGTCTTATCCTGATTTTTAGATTGTCAACATAAAATAGAAGGCCTTGCTCCAAGTTCTGTTTATACAACTATTTATACATTAGTTCTCTTATGAATCCAGGAGGGAGACTTAATGTCAGGAACACAGAAAAGTGGGATGTTGGGAGCGACATTCTTCAGTTTCCAGTATTTCGCATTGCGGGGGTGGAGTGGAATGGAGTTTACAAGCTTTGTGATGTTGTTTGGGGAGTTTGCTATTGTTTCTTAGTTGTGAGTTGTTTCATTTATTGCTAGATGCCCTGAACCTGTCTGGATAGGGTGGGACATAAATCTAAATATTACCACTAACATATTCTTTAGCTATAACATCTGCAACAGTGTTGTCCAGCACCAATGGCCCTTTTCTAGTAAGGGCAAACTTTCTCTGTACGTCTAATGGATCAGAATTTAGTGTGATATTTTGGGTAATGGGGAGGGGGGAGCAAAGATGGAGAACTGAGAAAAAATAATTGACCCAACAGAAAACACTAAATTTTACTGTACAGCAGAGATAGAAAAAAGGTTCCTAGGAGTGGATAGTGTACTTGTTTTTCTGAGTCCAACATATTTTTTGGTAGCAAATCCATTGCCCCTCTGCTTTCAGATTGAAGGATTTAATCTGTGCTGGAAATTGTGAAACAGTCTGGTCACAATTTACATTCCTATTTGTACTCCCCACTTACTACATCTTTGACCCTTTGTTTTGTTTTGTTTTGTTTTGTTTGGACAAAGAGATTTGTGTAGATAACGAGCTTCAAGCTGTCTCTCTTTTCTCCATTCCCAAACTTGGATGTAAAGAAAAACTAGAGGAACCAAAATGGGTGGATCTTTGCTACAACTGATAAGAAACCCAAAAGACAGAAGGGTAGGGTACACAATTAACACTGAAAAGTGTTTTGTACCTAAAATTGACAGTGCATTTTAAAAGCCTCCCTCTTTCTTTTTGTAGGAGTCCTGATAGCTTTACAAATCCCTTTGAATGACAGTTTGAAGGAGAAGGTATTTGTAAAGAGTGATTCAAACCCATGTCAAGCTAATAATTTCGAGGCAGCAGCAGCACCAGTCAGCTTTGTAGTCAAAGTGAATGTGACAAGCAAATTAAGGTCTAGCTCAGGAGAAGCAAAAGCAGTGAACAAGTCCTGGATGACTCTATGCTGGAACTTTGACACAGGTTCTCAGGAATCCTTGAATGACTGCTCCATCAACTGCTAGTGCTAAAGGAAATTTGGGCTGCACTCTGCAAAGGCCAGCTCTCCTACAGTATGTTTCTCAGAGGGGAATCAAATGCAAGGCCACCCCAACCCTGAAATGTGACCACTTCAAATTTCTGGCTGAGTGATCATGTTCTAAATATCAACACTGCACTGCTGCTTGTTAAAATACAAGATTCTTTAGGAGCTGCCAGACTGCCATACAGGCAAGGGCTGCAGCAGTTTCTCTTGCTATTTTCATTGTTATGCAAGTGACACATCCACTTCCCTGCTTGGAGTTGACAGTTACTTTTATTACTCTCCCCAGGAGCACTTTGCACCTCACCCCTGCTGGGCTAGAAGTCCAGTATCACAGCCATCACTGCTGACAGGAAAGAATCCCTTTCCCAGGCTAGCACCACCCCCTCCAGCCGTCAGAAAGCAAATCAAAGAGGACAGGCAGCTTGGGGACAGAACAGAGTGACTGCACTGCTCTCTTTGGATTTGTACTGAGCAAAGTAAATGCTGGTATTCTTAGGACACAAGAGCAGCCTGCTCACTATTTAGAAGAGCAGAGAAATGTGGACATCGAAGAAGAGGCTTTAAAAATGCATGGCTACCTAAGCTCTGCTTTGCCAGAAAAATCCATTCACTCTCTGCATCAGCACTTACCTGGTTGGGGAGGAGAAGCCTCTGATGCTGGAGAAGTCCCAAAGAGGCGGGAGATAATACTGCGCTTCTGTGGTGGGGCTGCAGCTGGAAGTGCTGGGGACGCTGTGGCTGGGGGTGGTACATGTGGTGGCTGATTCTCTGGTGCAGGCACTGGTGAAAAAGATGACGGGGGCTCAGGGGATACTGCTGGGTTGGGGGGTGGCTGCTGAGACAGTGGCTGCTGAGGGGTCCCCGGACTGGAACTGCCAGTTGATGTGGAACTTGGAGGTACTATGGGTGACTGGGAGCCAGAGGAAGGGCTCTGTCCGTTGGTTGTCAGCGGGGATGCGTGCCCTCGACTTCGGGCTTCCATCATCTCAAGGAAGCTGCAGGAAAAATTAAATCGCAGACGTAAAGGACTGGAATATTCTCAACAGAATATCTAATTAAAGCTGTGCTTCACTGGCTGCTGCACTGCAGTGAGAGGCAAGAGAAGAGTGCACTTATCAGCTCTGCCATGGGCCTTCCAGGACCTTAGCCAAGTCCATGCCATCTCTTTGTTCCTAACTGAGCCTGCCTCTATGCAGGGAAGAATAATCCTGACCCTGCCTCACAACAAGGGCTGGGAAACTTAGCCAGTACTTAAAATAAGCCCTTTGCGCAATTAGGACAATGAGGCCTGTCATGTGCCAACGGTTCATATGTTTTTATAAAGTAAACTTTGGTGTGTGTACTTCAGAAATGTTCTTTTACCAATGATGTAGCTGATACAAGGAAGGGGAATAAATCCTTGTCATTTGTGTTGTGCATAAAATGCCTCCCCTTTCAGTGCAGAGCGAATTTGAGGGGATAACTGCATATTATGCTTAAAAGAGCCAGTACAGGGCCCTGAGAGCAGAACTACTGGAATCACCATGCCTTAGGCCCTCATCAAAGGACACCAAGCACCACAGTCCCCTTCCAGACCCAGCTTGGCCAGCAGACACAGTAAAGAAATTGCTCTCCATTCAGGGTCTCTTGCATCAGAGCTTTAAAGCTCTTCAAAGCAGAAAGGGTGAAACTCTTAGGTCCTTAGGAAAAGAAATGAAGCAAATCCTAATCCCTTGCTGCAGTATGGCTGTACTGTCAGGCTGCTTATCAACTCCTTTGCAATATTCAGAAACTCACAAAAACACACTATGGTAAGAGAGATTTTAAATGGCCACAGTTCATGCTCAACTGTGCAACGGTCTCAAAATAAGATCAAGCAGCTGTCAAAAGCAAGTCTGAAAAATGCATATAGGATCCCCAAATGAAAACTCCCATCTACCAGTTTAAAGAGACGTCCTTTCATTACTAAACTTAACAAGCTCTCCGGTGCAGACCTATGAATTTAACTGCCTCTGTGCAGACTCTCGAGGATGCTTTCCTTTCTGTAGCAGACATACAAGTGAATACAGTCACACAGTGAATGCTACCAGATACCCTAGCAAGTCTTATAGGAACTAGCCAATCCACTCCATGGAAAGGTCCAGCTGAGAAAAAGCAATTGCAACTAAAGACCTACAAGCACGTCTACAGAGAAAATGTCATGGGGTCAGGAATAAGATCATATGCTATGTGATCAGTACTTCTGCCATCCATCGGGCGGGCAGCAATCCCTGCTGCCCCACACTGCATGGGTGGGGCTCTGCCATGAGCGCCCAGAGGCCCCTGATGGCCACTGTTGCAACTGGTGAGTGCGGGGATTTGTGGGGTTTGTTTTTTTTAAAGCTCTGCACTCACCGGTTGCATAACTGGCAGCTGGGGCCTATGAGCACTCGTGGCAGAGCCCCCCCACGCAGTGTGGGGATCACCTCCCCACCCTCGCTTGGCACCCACACAGCAGCTGCCCCATAGCACGGATACAGTGCAGCTCTGCAGGGTGCCATGTGCTGTCTAGGAGCTGGGGCGGCTCCATGTGTCAGCCAGAGCCTGACACTGCTCAGCCCCAGCTGCACCCATGCCACACGGGTGTCAAGAGGGGGGCAGGCATCCCTGCTGCCCTGTGCTGCATGGTGGGGGGGGTTCTGCCACGAGCGCCCAGAAGCCCCAAACGCTGCTGCTGCAGCCAGGGAGTACGGAGCTTTTTTTCTTTTTTTTTTTTAAAGTGCTGGGACTAGGCTAGGGCTGGGGCTGGGCAGGGCAGCCATGGGGGCTTCTCCTGTGGCTCCCCCCACCCAGGGAGAGGCAGGCACAGCTGGAGGAGCCAAGGAAGAACCCGCAATCACACCGCTGTGCCTGCCTCTCCCCGGCAGATCCGAGTCACCGAATCTCACCAAATCAGCACCGAATCTTCCGAAGCTGATTCAGCCGAATCGATTTAGGACAGTAATCCAAATTTCTGAATCGAATCACTGTCCTTCAAAAATCAGCCAAATCCAAATTGAATACTTCCTTATTCATACAGGCCTACTCCCTATTCACACAGAGCCCTTGGGATTTCCAGTTTTGGGGAACAGACCAAATTAGAAGACCGCTAAAGCCCATATTAGAATGTATGCATGTAGTGGGTTTGTGAAACAAAGGAATACACTGGCAGGACAAAATGTGGACAGTATGACAACCACAGGAAAGCTAATCAGCGATGCCCAAAGCTGAAGAGTCATCACAGAGGGAAAAAAACACAGAAGGAGGGATTTCAGCGCAGTAAAAGGTCCCCGAGAGGGGAACCTGAGGCCACAGTGGACAGAAGGCATACCATCAGCCTGTCTCACCCACCCCACTGGTGGGGGGTGGGCCTCAGCCTCCAACCTCCAGGCGGCTGACATCCGACATTCAAGAGAACCTCAGGGTGAAGCTCGTGTACTGGCCAGATGTACCTTCCTTCTGATGACAGCTCTAGGACTGGTAGATACAGAACTGTTTGCATTATTCTTATCTGTTATCACTGTGTATCAATAAATGTGTCTATTACCAAATGGAGAGGTTGGTGTTGGTCTGAGGATTTGGATCCGCCCAGAACAAGGTATCTGGGTCATAAACCCAGTGCCAGCAAACACCACCACTGACCTCCAAGAAAATAATGAAAGCTAACTAGCCCAATGGCAATTCACGAAGCAGTACTCTCAGGCAACCATGTACAACAGGAATCTCTGGATGTTCCTTAACTGTAATCAGAAGGTCATAACAAATGCAATTCCACACCACTTATGGTTTGACATCTGTGAAACACAGCTGAAAGGAGGATGAGATGGGCTAAGGCCACCTCTCCCAGACCTCACCAAACTAAGCAAATGCTTTGAATTTGTAGAAATGCCAACAAGTCTCCGGCAGGATGTGGAACCCCCCCAGGAGTCTCTCCCCACAGTGTATCAGACCACTCCAAACCTGCCTACCAACACCACTTCAGGGTTAGTAGCATGGCAGACCCAAGTTAGAGGCACTTTGCTTTGACGACTTCCACTTCCTCTTTATGAACTTCAGTTCTGCATTCCCCGGCCTCTCCCAGAACGTTTCTGTAGTGCAGGACTCCCTAACAGCAAGAGGGCAGATGTATATCCAGGACAGCCCTGGTATGCTGTCCTGAAATCCTCTCTTGAGTCCCACTCAGCATTAAGGATTTCTGCCTCTCAACTGTGAAGTGGAGTTAGCCCTTGACCAATCCTGTGGGTTCACCTCTTCTTGTTGTGAATGATAGTACTCTTGATATTACAAGAACAGTAATTCTGTGAAGGGCTTGAAGACTAACATTGATGCTGCAACCCAGGCTAAGTACGGAAAAAGTGCTATCTCCATATTTTTACAGTCGTCATTGTGATAACAGCTAAGAACAGCACAGATTGCCAGCAAAAACATGTAGGACTCACCAAAGCAACCTAAGAAACAGCAATGAAAAAAACCCAAGAGAGGAATCCCTAAATTTCAGGACAGATGGAAGCTTCTGGGAAAAGACTAGACTGTTATTATATTGCTGAAGGCTCTAAGAGGTTAAAGGTGGCATGCAAGGAAATAAGTCATCTTAGGATGCAGATCGTGATAATCAAAGGAAACTTTAAGAAGGTGGAATCACAGGGGAAGATTAGGAGAGGACACTGTTTCCAACAGCTGCATATTTGAAGCCTCATTGTACTATGTGCTATCAAAGCTATCCGATTTGGAAGCAGTCAGCTTCATTCCATGGAAGAAGCCAACTTCAGAGAGCGAGAGATATCAGGCAAAAGGAACTATGATTCCACTATGATTCCTTGGCAGAATGGATCCTACTTTTCAGAAGCAGGAACATGGGAATTTCAAAAACAGCAAAAAACCACTATGGCTTAAGTATAAAGAGACTCGTTTTTGTCCATACCATGACTATTTAAAGGGACTGAATTGCACAGAGGGTCACATCTGTGATTGTACCCATGTCTAGACAGAAGTCTCTTCATTTTACAAAAGGACACATGCTCAAGGTGGGGCAAGGTATTTTTAAACACACAATGATGTGAAATACACTGCATGAAAGTTAGTGAGACTTGTGCTGTCACCTCACATCAGTGCTATGGAAAATTCCACTTAAATGAATAGTGCTGGGTCTTCTGTTGTCCCATCTAGCGCAGTCTTCCCCACCCAACAACAAGACACAGATCCATGCTCCCTCTCAGAGGACGCTGGCATGGTCTGACACTTGTTCTAGGAGCACTGCATGGACTGGTTCTGCTGAGCTCCCAAGTTCCAAGAGCATCCCCAAAGGATCTAAGACAGGCAATACAGACTGGCTTGCTGGGATACAAGCCAGGAACCAGGACACGGGTTTGTTTAGGGAGGAAAGTTGCAAATTGGAACCTGCAGTCTGTAGGAGCCAACCTGCCTACCACTACATAGCAGCCTGATGGCAAAAGCTTTCAGCACCAGAATGTCTGCACTACAGTGCAACATTAACTGCCATGATGGAGATATGCAAGCAAAGCCTCTCTGTTGCATACTTTTAAAACACCTCATTATACACAAGCATCTGTCTACAGCTTTACCTGGACACTTTGAAGGCATGTAAAGCTGTTTGAGAGCTAAAGGGTTTCTCCCAAACTCCCTATTGACTCTTTCCTCCCTGTCGTTGTAATATCACCATGGCATTTTTTGCCTTTCTTACTCTTCTTCTTACCATCTTTGTCAATTTAGGGCAAAGCAGCCACCCCTGCAGTCAGTCTTATAAATCCATTAACATCAAGCTCTAAGAAATGTCTTCTTTATGTATACTTTTTGCACAAGTAAAGGCATCTACCACATAGAGTGAATGCAATCTTAAGATATGGGAGGTGACAATGCCATGGTTAGGCCTCATCTAGAGTACTGTGTGCAGTTTTGGGCTCTACATTTTAAAAAGGATGCAGAGAAGTTGGAGGGGTCCAGAGGTGGGTGACGCAAGTGATAAAAGTCTTAGAAAGTA